CTGAAAACAATCCTACATGGTTATAGAACAATACTTGGCTACTCAAAGATGAGTAGGAACTCATACTCAAAATTTCCTAAATTGTTTGTTGTCAATTTATAGAACTTCGTGTCTATAATCAAAACCGTTCATATTATAAATCACTCTGTAAAGATTATCTCTGCAAAAAATCAATTAAAACTAAGGTTGTTTAGTCATCAAACTATTTAAAAACAAATGAACAGTATTGGTAAAAGCATTACGAACCGTCTACGTATTTGCTATAATAGATTGACTAAACGACCTTAGTTTTAATTTATTTTTTGCAGAGATAATCTTTAGAGTGTGATTCATAGTATGAACAGTTCTGATCATAAGCATAAAGCTCTATGATTAAAACACTAAGAGTTATGAGTAGGAGTTCCTACTCATCTTTGAGGAGCTAAGTATTGTTCATGGCTATATGCAATATCAGGAGTATAAACTGCATTTCTGACAAGAAAACAGCAACAATAATGCTACAAAGATTCCTTCCTTACCAGTGCATTGTATGATGTGCCATCATAATTCATATTTAACTACAACAACAGTTCATACCCTATCAAATTCAATCCAAAGTTATCTCAAAATTTGAAAAATTCTACTCAAAGGCACTAATCTGCATACTAAAAACTGAACAAAATAATACTTCACATGAAATATCTAATCTTCTGCAATATTTAAAAGAAACCCAGATGGATAAAAACAATTACCAAGCCAGTAAATTCATCTGTTAATCACCAGCAGCACAGTTTGAGGTAAATTTAGATAAACCAGTAAGTACCTGAAGTGGGTTTGATCTGATCAAGTGGCTTATCCTGCAACTCAATCTTGTTCTTCCTTTTCTTCTTGGTTTTTGCTTTACAGTTAGAATTACCAGAACAGGGAATCATCATCCAACCCATGATTTTATATTGCTGTTTGAGAAGCCAAAGACTCAAAAAGAGAAAAAAGCAGCAGTTAGAAAAAGCAGTCTCCACAGAGACTCTTCAAACTTTCCCCAACTTCCCCAAAAGCAAAAACCCCACACGAGCTACTCACCCGGATAACGAGAGCTTATAATTTGTATATCGAAAAGCTGTAAACTTTAGAACACTCTCCCTGTTTATGTAATGTTTTACAATTATTTTTATTGTCATTTGCCACATAAGAAATTTTCAGTATTCAGCAACACAGTTCAGTATAAATATAATAATATAATTGGTTCAAAAATTAAAAACAAAAGTTTTAACTAATTGTATTATGATATTTGATGGATGAGTTCGTGTTCTTGATACACCAAAAAATTTCTCTTACCAGATATTATTTTCAATCAGAAAAATCGTACTAAATGGATGGAGAAGATTGAACCTTTCTATGATTTTTAGAAGAAAGACTACGTGCATCAGCCACACTTTTGAATTAATAATACGGTAATAATGTTATTCAAACATATGAAATTAATACGATATAGTTTCTAATAGAAGTAAGTTTCACCCTTGCGTATGATATATTTATCTTTTATTGTATTGCTCGCTTGTGCAACGATGTCGATTGTTAACATAAACTAACTAATGGTGGATTGTTCTGGTAGCTAAAGTCTTCTTCTTTCATTCATTGAGTTTCATGTCCAAACTATATTCCCTCCTTTTGCTCTTAATATAAATCAGTGCAAATCGCTTGTAATAAAAAAAAACACATATATTATCTGAGAGGTGTGTGCAAGTTCTTTCCCAGGTTTCAACTATAGGACTCAACTATCCAATGATATACCTTCTTTACAACTTACAAGAGTGTTATGTTTTTTTACTTATCCTTTCAATTTTAGTGAAAGTGACAAAGTCACAGCTGGTCACAAATGGCTTGTTTTGGACCCTCCATTTGGTGCACACTGTTTATGTTCAACAGAAAAAAATCAATAGAATTGTATTTTTGTTATTTGACTTTGATTTGATGGTGTTGGTCACGTTCTCATATATTATAAAAATGCAAATTTTCGATTCCACCAACTCTGAATTTTTTTATTTTTTTTTATTTTTTTAATTGGTGTCATGAGATATATTTGAGAATCGGACACCAAATTTAGGTAAAATATTTGACCGACTATATTGTTTTTATAAGAGAAAGGACACAGAGTGTGTATATATTGGTGTCATTTGATTTGTGATATATTTGGTGTTGTGAAGTTGGACTTTGAATTGTGTGATCCTTTCCTCAACTTATAAAATAAATTTAATAAAGCATTGAAATTTAATTTATATTTATCTTCTTGTAAACCAAAAAATCCTCACGTAACGGTTTTATATAGAGAAAAGGTATTTCCAACAAATTATATAAAAATACCTTCTTTAAAAAGAAAGCTTTGACAAAGAATAACTTTCTTAAGGAGAGAAATAGTAAATAATTGAATCATACTACAGAGGTTGGTTTGGATTTAGTCAAGTTGGATAGAACAATCGTTTTAGTTAATTTTGACTAAAGTAGTTTTTACATTAAAGTTCGAATCTTCTGTTCCGTAATTTAGATAAATTTAATTTAGAATTTTGCTTTATCAAAAACTCAGCTAAAAGTCTCAAGCTTAGTAAAAAAAAAAAAAAACTTTGTACTAGTGTGTATAGTTAGATAACCAAGTTCGAAAAACTTAAACTTTTAGAATAGGTCAATAAGGTATATGAAGCTAACTGTTAAGAGTATCAATACCGCATAGGAAAAAGGAGGAACATTGCATTGCATGTGTTTATAAGTAGTTGGACTACCCTCTAAGAGTTCTTTTGGATGTGCTTTTAAAATGACTGAAAGCTCATTTAGTGAAAATATGTTTAGAACCAATCCTTAGTAAAAATGAGAGTAAATCCTGAAAAAACACTTCAAGTACTTCATGGAAGAAGAACATTATTAGTGCTTCTTGCAGAAAGCACTTTAAGTGCTTTTGGAATCAAAAAACATTTTTTTTAAAAGCGCTTTCAATCATTTTAAAAACACATTCAAATAAGCCCTAAATTGCCAATTAATTTTATGGTAGAAACTCCAACTTTCTTTACTAATATCCTTTCTCCCATGTATGTAATGAAAAACCGAAGACCTCTAAAAACAGGAACTTTGATGTCATACCAAATAACCATTGAACTCAAAAGACATCAAGACTTTGATATCATATTAGAAAATCACGGAACGTAGAAAAACATAACATATATATCATATAGCAAATACTTGAATAATTTCTAAATTAATATAATAATCTCGAATCCTCCTACTCCTCTTTAATTCTTAATGTTAATTAAATACTTCAATGATCCCTACAACTACAAAACCATGCAAGAAGGAAATAAAATTACCAACCAATCATCTTAGAATATGGTCCTTATACATTAGATTATATCCGTTAGTTCTTATGGACTATTGACTTTATCGACCAAGTAGCGCAAAGAAGTTCCATATAGCATATGGAGTGTAGTGCCAATGCAAATATTGATCTTCTCAATGAAGTTATTTACGCCACAAATTCATACAACTTTGACCTTGGTCGGTTCCCGTCCGGACTCCTCCCACAAATTATGCCTCGGCAGCCGCTTCTCATAACTTCTCCATAGAAACACAAAGTGCACCTCTGAGCTCAGGTTCACAGAATCATATTAACAAGTCAAGCCTGCGAAATAAAATGGTATAAAAAGTTGGTGCATTCTTTCCAACAAATAAAAAAAATGATAATATTTGTCTCATTTTCATGGAAGTAGCCGTTTCTACATTCGTGCTAATCACAGTTTGATATGCATGTAAAAAAGAATTTCTTTTTGAGTTATCTCTCCATGCGTGTCAAGCTGTGATTTACAAGAACAAAAAATGACTCTTTCATAATAAGAAGTGGATCAATGTCCAAAGAAAAATAAGATTTTCAATGGTATTCCGGATTATGGGATACTCATAATGTTTTAGACGTTAGATTTTTACTTAAAATACAAAAATAAAGATTTAACAGTTATAACACTCGGAATATCTCATACTTCAAAACACTGTAGAATTTTTGAAGCAAAATAGAGAAAGAATGAATTGACAATATGATATGAAACCTTAACATAATAGCAACGGCAAGGGATGCGTGAGTTAGGGTTAGGACAACAGAAAACTTCCAAAGGGTGATTAAAATTATGGAGTGGAAAGAGATGACACATGAAAAGAAATTGGTGGTCAAATGTGGGTTCGAATTCAACCGTTACAAAATCCAAGATTGGGGATGGGCTAATATCTGAGCTTATTTAGACCAATCAGCAAGCTTCAAGACTTGAAGTGTCACGTTTCTTTTGGTTACGTTGAAAAATCAATCTTAGTTTGCACTCCTTCCCGTAATGTTATGTTTTCATTCTCATTTTATACATTCAATTATAAATTACAGCTTATTTTCTCGTGTAAATGAGATGTCCTATATTCGAATATGGTAATTGATGAGTTTAATACTAATTTATTCCCCTCTCTCTTAGTATAACGTATATCGTTAGATTAAAAAAATCATCAAAGCACAAAAATAGAGAACACAAATTGAAAAAAAAAAAATTGTAAAATTACTAGTAACAAATCTGTAGTTCAAACGAGTATAATCCCTAGTAGAAATGTAGTCTACAAGATATAGAGCTTAGGTGCTTGAATGTTGAATATAGAAATGAAACTAGAGATTTAAAACAACTCACATAAAGAAGCGAAACTGCAAATGCATGAATGTAATAAGAACTGAGTTTGTAACTCATGTAGTTAAGAGCATTCACCTCTACTCGTAATTTTTTTTATTAAGCCATTGTCCCCTTATATTCCTTGCAAAACAAAAAGCAATAGGTATTCAAAATTTCAAAGCTGATAGGATGTAATAACCAAAATCTTAAACGTACTATAATTATAGTGTACAACTTTTTCTAATAACAAAAACAACACAAGTATTCTGAATATGCTTGCAATGAATTATCGTACTTCTCTCAAAACAAAACAAAACAACACAAGTATTACCCACTAGGAAATGAATAATCCTTAACTTTACTCTCTAATCCTTGTATTATCAAGTCATCAACCTAATTACTGCCATTAACATTTTGTAAGAAAGTTTTGTTATGTGAAGTTGCCCACGTGAAATTATTGGCATAGCATTTAATACAAAGAAAGTAAAAATGTAATACTCTGATGAGCTAATTGAAGTCAACAGTTTTTTAGCCAAAATGATTTTTGAGATTGATATAACTTCTCACATTGATCTCTGAGATTGTCCACCGTCAACCATTTTAGTCATTTTGTGAAAAATCTCCATTAAATTGAGTTCAAGTGAAGGGGTTATTTGACAAAAATACCCTCACTTTAACGAAGATTTTTCACAAAATGATCAAAATAATTGACGGTGGGCAATCTCAAAAATCATTTTGACTAAAAAGCCAAGGCAGCAGCAACGACGGGGGAAATTAAGCCAAAATATTTACACCATTTTATGTCTCCAATCCATCAAGCAGCCATGAAAGAGATTCCCAAGTGAAATTATTGGCATTGCATAGCAGAGGAGAGCATCCAAGGCGGGAATCAGAATCACTGCAGCAGTTACTTTTGGTGTCTGTTTTTTCCTCTGAGCCCATCTGACATTTCTGTCAGACAAATATGGGGTTGAAACAGTTTGATGCCAAAGTTTGAATGTGATGTTGTCACTCACTCATGGCTTTTCTTTAGTTGTTGTATCCTTCTCAGATGCTCCTGCGTTCGTGTTCCTCAGTGGCATGTCGTGGTTGTGCTTTCCCTCGTACGTGGTGATGAAAGCTTTGGGATCATCCGAGACTCTTTCGACATGCTTGCGCACGCTGCATTTGAGACTGGTACATCTGTAATAACTTCTGCAAGATCAAAAAAGCTATGGAGTAAGCACTAGCTAGTCACAAAGAATCTTTTGTCCCACTGCAGATGTCATGAATGCACAAACAGCACTTGATGAACAACTTAAGAAACTGAGTCTTAACATAATCCATAGAGGTTGGTTATATATTGGATTACGATCTCATTCTGAAGAGTTATGTCTTGAGTTCGGATAACCAAAATACTTCGGTATCAACAAAAACGGGGGCAGATTTGAGACCTCATCAACAACACGAAAAATATTAGTAGACTAAGAGCTAGAGGTACATTGTACGTATGAGACAGGTGAGCACACATGCAAGAGGAAAATTAGCCAATTGCTCTAAGAGGTGTGGATACATTTCCTAAAAAAATAAAAAAGAGTTTTCACTCTTTCTAACCTGGGATATGGATTTCCCTTGACAACTTTCTGCCCGTACTTCCTCCAGCGGAAGCCATCACCCGTCATATCAGATTCAACAGAATTTTGCACCATAACACGAGGATCTTGGACACCTTCCCCTGATATCCCTGCTTCAATGGAATGATTCTCACTTTTTCTGAAGGAAAATCATAGTTAAACATAGTCAATGACATTAACCGTGAACAAGGTATTATGATAGAAATGCTCATCAAGAATCAAGATATTTCAAACGCATTTTTAATCCAAACATTCAGGGGTCAATCACGGAGAAGGGAATAGACAAGAAAATGGATACAAACCAGCATAGAACAAAAGATGATAAGTGACTATCGTATTGTTTCAAATAGTAAGGTGCACCAGCTTTCAAAACTAAAGCATGCATAGCTAATCCAAGGCCTCTGATTTCGTCTAACCTTCTTTTACTTCTAGGTTCATAATCCTCTACTTCAAGCCCCTTACTTGCTTCCTCGCATTCGGCACTACGACCACAAGAATTATCAGGAGTTGCACCACCAGCAGTTATTCCTCCAGTCGCATGGGGATCATAAGGTAGTGGGGCTTTGGTTTGGTAAGACTGCACAGGTAGTCCAACTTCATTTTGATCTTCTACTCTACCTTCGGAACCTTCATTTCTTTCATTAAGATGACTATTCAATAGCCGGTTGTTGGTATCTTGACCAGTTCCGTCAAATGGTATGCCTAAGCCTTGTGTCCCTGATGAGCTCCGCTTTGGAGGCTGAGGCTTTGAGTGGTTGTGTTCCCCCTTGTACACAATCTCAGCAATCTGGCCATCCAGAGATCGTTCAACCTTCTTTTTCACAGGACAATTTGGATGAGTGCACTTATAGTAACTTCGGGGGTACTCACTTCCTTTGACTTGCTTCTGTCCATATTTTCTCCAATTATACCCATCATAAGAAGGCCTATCAGTATTGGCTGTGGATGGTATAAGTTTCAGATCCTCTTCCATGTTTTGTGAGGCTATTTTCAAAGGCTCTGTTGTCTGATTTGTCTCGGCACGTGATGGATTATTATGGCGCAGATTTGAGCTTTGGGATCTAAAGCATTTATCTTGATTTGGATGTAGAACACCCACATTAACTGATAATTGTGTAGATTGGTGGCTGGTATTGAAGTTTCCCTGGTAAGAATGAACAAAAAGAATTCTGTTTCAAAATTCGAGGTTCAAAAGTTTCACCACATTTTCAAAGTCCCATGTCTTTACACAATTATTCAGTAGCTACTGACCATATTTGCCAAGACAGAAACGGTTGCCCTTGAAACAACTTTTGCCAATGGTTTATATATCACAGTTGATCTGCTATCTGATTTCGAAACCTGCTCCGATGAATGACTATGTGCTGCACCAGAGATATGTGCCTGAAAATTTTTCGCACTAATAGTCAGAGGTAAAACTTCTCAAAAGGAACAAGCACTTTTGGTAGAATTAAGATCACCTGGGAAGAAACCAATCCAGCGACAGCATGATTCACCATTGGCTTGAACCTCACGGTCTTTGGTCTGATGGCAGGAACAGCAGTTTCAGAAGATACATTCGAAGGAGAGGCATCAATAGCTCCTGCAAGAAGCTCTGTGAAGGACCTAAAGGTGGAACAAGTTGGCCTTGAAGCAACTGGTTTAGCTATAACTACACGCTCTGCTTCCTTAATATCCATTTTTTCCAACGCTTATGTTATGTTCCAATTAGTTATTTTTGATGTGTGTTGTAGTAGCATGAGATAAAGGAAAACATAGCAGTCCCACCATCTTATGCCTGGAATACTCTGTATATCTTTCTCCCCAAAGCAATAGAAGTTACAAAGTTGTCAGGAGAAGTTGCTTGATATGGAATAGTAACTAACTGATACTTGAGGAGCTGCTACTGCCAATGTTGGCTCAAGATGTGCAAAGTTCATCTACTTGAAACCTGCATGAGACCGGGATTATATAGAAATACTAAGATAAATAATAAAGTAACAAGACGAAGAGTCAAAGGAGTCTTTAGGAGTATAGCATTCTACAAAAATCACAGACGTTGAAAGGTACAACTTTGGCTTAATGCATTTATTTTCAATCAAGACAAAGCATTTGGGATTTGGATTTGGGGCATTGAGATAATCTCTGAAGAATCCCTCTACTCTCGTATTCTCATTGCCATTTCAAAGCAATGCGTGATTTAAGTAGGAAAGGCAAGCATACAGATTTCCATTTTCCTAACACACGTGTTCACTAACTTCCCGGAGGAGGAACTCTTTCCATCGAAGTAATGATGCCGAAGGTTGCACCTTTAAATCGAGGAACATTTGTACAATTTAGTCCACTCATAAATTATGAAAAACAGATTATGCGCTAACAAAACAAGCTAGAACGCGAAAGCATTCACATCATAGAAAAAAATCAAACAGCGAAGGCGGAACACTGAATAGAATTGGCAATACCAATTAGATACAGCTCCTGAATACTCATCTAGGTCTCTGACATGTCAATTTCAAGTTTTCTATGGCCATGGTTGAATGCATAAGGGATTTGATTTCGCAAAAACGTCTGTTTGAAACTTTTTTTGCACTATCCATGAAACTGTTTATCAAAAGATAAGCATATAACCCAAGTTCACATCTCCAAGCAGGGATAATGATGCTCATTTCTTCTCCAAAATAACAAAATCAATAATGTCTCAACTAACCACTTAATTGTTTTTTACAAAATCTCCTGAACTCGACGTTAAAATTTGAAACAATTTCAACCCTCTCTATTCAAAGATCATATTATGAAGTTGAACCACACATATCAAACCATGACATGTTCAGTACCCCACTGGTGACAAGAGCAACCATATGTGGACAAGATTGTAATCTTACTTCCCCAATCATATAACTTTACACACATTAGAAATATTTTCTTCCCTTCTTTCCAAAAGAAAGTTGAATCAACTAAAAACATTAAAACAAAATAAATCTAATAAATATACAAATCAAATTCTCCAAATTATCGATGAAAGTGCTGAAACACAGAACCGAAAACCAACATACTTTCTTCCAACAAACATAAAAGAACAAGAAACTAAATCCCAAAATAAAAAGTTGAAGTCACAGATTTTGAAGAAAATAATATTAGATGCAGATTAGAGGTATGGTAAAAGTAAAATAAAATAAAAAAATAGTCAACAAATTCCAGAAACTCTAAGAACTAAAACACTTTGCAGAAGTAAAAAGGAAGTAGCAACTGACCTGAATGGCTTCAACTCATAAACCCAGAAATCTGTTGGGTCCGCTAATCTTAATAAGCCAAGTTTATAACACTTGGCTTAGCCTGCATTGCACCACCCCCAAATTCATAAGAAAACAAAACAAAACAAATAAAAATTTCAGCTCTAAAGATAGAAAAGTTTAAAAATTATTTATAAAAAACGTGACATAAAAACCAGAGCTTTTATCTTGGAGAATGGAGAGAGAGAGAGAGAGAGAGAGAGAGAGAGAGAGAGAGAGAGAGAGAAGGAGAGAGAAAGCAGAAACTGCTTATGAAAACAAAAACAAGGATTAATCCTACAGGAGTATCGGGTTTGCCTTTTCAAACCAAGTACGTACTGCTGCAGCACATGTACCAAAACGCAGCGTTTTCACTGGTCCTGGACTTCCCAAGAGTTTTTTTTAACAGTGTAATGGAAGGGGGGGGGGGAGAGAGAGAGAGAGAGAGAGAGAGAGAGTTCTGCAACAAAATTTCAACACTTTGCACAGGAAAATGGAAAATGAGGAAACCCCAATAATTATTTCATCTATATTTTAATATTTCCGTAATAAAGTTGAGTCTTCGGCTTTTATGGGCTATAAAGTGGACAAAAATGGAAACAGAAAATTGGGTTTTTATTTTCTAATTTACGTGTTTTTATTTTTGTGGGTCTCAAAAAAATAGTGAGGGAGCAGAGTGGTGTTGTTGGGTTGAGCAAGGATCCCTAGAGGGAGTGGCAAGTCCAACTAACCGTCCCTCCTTTGACTCTATTTGAGCACTTCCAGTGTAGAAGACTTCTCATAGCAATTGGCAATTGAATTCCTTCTAATGAATAGTACTTATCTTTAATAAACAGTAATTATATTTTACATCTTCATCACTAAACTTAAAAATCATGGCAGTAGGTAATAAAATATTAGTATTTTTATTTTATAAAATAATAAAAAATAATTTAAATTTAAATTTCGAATAAGATTTTTGACCGATCTCGTCATGACATGTGTTATTATCTAAAAGTACAATTTTTGTGAATAAATTTTGATAAGATTTTTAACCAATTCCGTCGCGTGACATGTTCTTACCTATTTAGAATCGTTGAAAATATTGAAATGTGGTGTAAGGTGGGAGAAAATGGTAAGTTATTATAAAAAAAATATAATTTTTTTTAAATTTTTTTGGATTTTTAATTAGTTTAAAAAAATTATTAACTTATTTAATCTGGACCGTCGGATTACAAAAAAATTGAAATCCATCAGTCCAGAATGAGACACATGGCCCACCCAAACATTTTTGATATTTTTTTCTAAAAAAATTTTAAAGCCGAAAAAACTGGACCGTTGATCTGGAAATCAAACGGTCCAAATTCAAAGTGACTGAGTGGGACTGACACAGGGGCCCCATCGTCTGAAAATCTACCCGAGACGCTCCCCCACGTGCGCGTGTTGCTTATGCGGTTGACGCAAAAAATTTTATAACGTGGCTGGCGTCAGCCTTACATCACTTTCCCTCAGGTACTCAGGCCTTGGACTCCCGCCTGCCTTTTCCCACGAGCTCCCCCTTAGCCCAATTGCCCAAATTGGATGGAGCTAGTTTGGGAGGGGATTGGGTTGCAAATGTCCCTGTCCACCGGGCTAAAGAGCACGCTGGAAGTTCTCTACAAACAACAAGCGCAGCCCCGCAATTTGACAAATTATCTAAAACTACATTAACGAAACCTTCTTTGTCAACCAAAAGAGAGTGAAAAGACTTCTTTGTCTTCTATAACAACAAAAAAGTTAAGAATAGTAGCGTAATTTTACAAAACAGAATTTTGTTTTTTTTTTTTTTTTTTTAAAAACTCCACCTACATGTACTCTCTCACTCTCACGTTCTGTCTCACTCTCTCTCTCAATTTAACAACTAAAGTAAAAAATTTCACACACTTTGTGTGTGGGCATATACTAGTATGGTGTAATGCCCTAGAGTTATTGGTGAGTTTGGTTTTACCCGGATCCATTTTTTGTCAAAATTGAAAACTAAATTGAACTACTATTCGGTTTGGTTCGGTTCAATTTTCTTTGAGTTTTTTTGGTTCGGTTCATTTTAAGCTCATTTGTTTTGGTTTGTTTTTTTAAAAGAAATATGAAAACTGAATGCTTCAGCTGTCATCGTATCATACAACACTTCGACTTGAAATGGATTGACCTAATCAAATTTGATTCTACTTCTAACAGCATCACAAGTTCATTAGTAACTACATCTTTTCAAGTTAGAACAAAAGTCATTTCAAGTACCTTCCCCTATAAACAAAAAGGAGTAAGATTTGCTCCCCTTCTATTCTCTCTCTCCTTTCCTCACCTCCTATTTAAACAGTTATGATTGAGTCACGTCAAAATTTACTTGAACTTGACCGCCTACCTATATATTTTTTATTGTGCTTTTATCTATAGAACACGAAGATGCAGACAGAGGTGAGGCCGTGAGGGATGGTAAGGACTGAGGAGGAGCATAGAGTGAGAGAGTGCAAAGGACTGGAGGTGGAGGTGCTGCAGAGGAGAGTAACTGAGTGAGGCATGAGGAGTAGCATTTAGGTCACATGATAAAAGTAAAACGACAACGTTTATATGGGTGTAAGTAAAACGACGTTGTTTTAAGGATTCTTCGGTTCGATTTTTGAACCACGAGAACTAAAACCAAACCAACATATTTTGGTTCGGTTTGTTTTTCTAATTCGGTTCTTTTTTCTTTCGATTCAGTTTGTTTCAATTTTCGGTTTTTGAGCCCACTATACTTGGAGCCCAATGGGATAATATAATGCTGTAGGAAACTGTTATCCTAATAGTACACGTGGCAGTGTTGGATTTGCTGGGTTCCTAGTAAAGTTTGGAGTCTATTCTAGTGATACTGATTAGTGAGGGAAAAATACTTGATTAGCCATGGATGTTGAATGTGGATGAGGGAAAATGGTAGGGTGAAAGGATATTGTTTGGGTATCAACTGGTACCAAATGCCACCTAAGAATATTATCCCTGTTGTATGATTAAAAATGTTGTGCATGTCATGGATTGGTTACCATGTTCCATATTTTGCCTACATATTAAGTTTAATCGACTCAAAACATATATATGGGAAATAGGAGGTGGTTAGGTTTGGGTAGAAAAATCGTAAGGCATGGGGAGTTAGGTGAGGCATAGATGGGTGTGTCAAGTAGAGATTTTCTAGAAAGTAGGTCAAAAGACACTGATCTCAAAAACATCTCCCTAAGCCCTTGCAACTGAGAAATCATGAATACAAGAAGTGAGATACTTGAAAAATGAAGACATCTCTTGCATTAACATAGGGGGTTTATTGAGATGTCATAAGCTCGAAAGGCCTCCATCACGTTCCTTCCTTCTAATCTTTCATTCTTTCATATGACCATATCATATATAAATGTAAACATCCTCTTGATAATATCATAAGCTCTTAAAAATAAGTGATCATGGTTTTGACTTCTAATTGAGTTAAAAAAAATTCACTTGAAAAAAGCCTTCAAGCACTCTTAAGAAATATAGAAAGTAGATTGGAAATACGCAAAACTATGAACAAGTATATATAATTTATCCAAACTATTTGTTGAGAGATGAGATTGTTACCCATTTCTTCAAAACTTTCAACTATGTTCATCTAACATATTAAAGCAATTTTTTTTTTTGTTGTTTATAAATTGTCTATATATGTGACATAATGATAGCGAGGGATGAAAATTTGGGCTAAGTCATACAGTGAATCAACTATAATTTAGTATCGAACTTGCAATTCAAAGAGTCAACTTGAAAGTTCTCACTTATAAATAAAGAAATAGAGACTTTGGATGCAGTTCCTAACTATAAATATTTTTTGACTGAAACCTTGTTGGTTTTCAATTTTTTATCGAAGTCCCTGAAATTAATGTGATAATTTATTTCTATTTATTTACTATATTTTTTAAATTAAAAATTGAAATTTATAGTTGTTTATATTAATGAGATTTTAAATATAAAAAGAACCATAATTTGTGGGAAATATTAAAATATAAATTGTACTATTTTGTGTGTGTGTGTAAACATGGGTACATTCTTCAAAATTACAAAAAAAATATTGTACCAAAATATGGGTACATTCTTCAAAATCACAATAAATATACATATACATATACATATATATATATATATATATATATTAGGTTTAGTAACATTAGTAAATTTCTTCGATTAAACTTGATATGGATACATTCTCAAATCAAAGAAAAAAGAATATACCCATATAAGTTTAAAAATGGATTAGAAAAAAATTGAATAGATTTTATTAAAAAAAAAACAAAGGGTACATTTTACATATAACAAATTGGTATATTTAAGAATGAATACATTTTAAGATTAAAAATTTGAAAAAATTACATGAATGGGTACATATAAGATTAAAAAATTTAAAACATTCTTTAAAAAAGCTAATGGGTACAAACTTATTCTAATTTTTTATTTATTTTGGAAATGTTTTGAATTCAAAATTAGTTAGGAGTTTAATAAAGGTGTGAGTATTAAAATTTTAAATCAATTACTAATTTTTATTTTAAAAAATTATGTAAAAAAGCTAATGGGTACAAACTTATTCTAATTTTTTATTTATTTTGGAAATGTTTTGAATTCAAAATTAGTTAGGAGTTTAATAAAGGTGTGAGTATTAAAATTTTAAACCAATTACTAATTTTTATTTTAAAAAATTATGTAACTAACTTGTAAATTTATTATTATGTTAATGCTAGGGACTTGGGTCAAAATATGAAAACCGATAAGTTTTCAGTCAATAAACATTAATAACTAGAGATCGCATACTAATTTTTCCATAAAGAAATCGCTAAACCCTAAACCTAAAACTTAAAGCAATTTAATAAGCTTTTCTAATACTAAAGGAAATAAGGAAAAAACTAATTTAAAAATTAAAAAGTCCATCCCATGTTTATAGATGAAAAAACCTCTTCCATATTCCAACTTAATTAATTCCTCACCAACGTCTGTGGGACTTCCTCGAGCATCAAATTATGAAGGTGATACAGAAATAGAACATCAGCATTTATTACAAAAAGATGAAATCACAGTGTCAACCTAAAGTAAATCACAAGAAAAGAAGAAAAACACATTGTCAACCTCAAGAATTGATCGATCGGTGGAAAGAAGGTACCAGTATATAAAAATACAACGAGAGAATGTACAAAAAGATGAATGCCATTGACTTAAATTATAGACAGCAAAATTTTTTAAAACCTTCTGCAGTAATCCTCAATGTGTAGCATGCAGTACAGGAAGTTGACAAAGAATTTCAGATTCTTAGAGAATGGATAGAATAGGAAGTTGCCAACGTACTCTTCCCTTTAAACCCTACCCATCTGCATTTTGTTTATTCTCTTCTTCTTTGTTATTTTCCACTTTGTTTAGTTTGGAATAATTAGTAACAATGGGAGTGCTAATTTCTCTTTTTGATATAAGCTATAGCAAGAAACGGAGAATCGAACACTTTGGCACATAAATAAAAATTCTCTAAACCAACTAAACTATAATGGCAGCGGTGTTAATGTTTAATGCACTTTTGGATGATGAAAGTATAGGATGCTTATTATTCTAGTGTTTTCTGATGAATTATATTAAGGTTAGTTTTAGTTTCCAATCTCAAGGTCAATTATTAATGTTAAGATCAATAGTTTTAGATATTGAGGAACTTGGGTCTAATTTACTTAACTTCCTTTTTCACCGATCTCAGATCTATATCTAATGAGATGAATACTCGGTAATTCGATCCGGCGGCACTTAATGATCATATATACTTTTATTTTGTGGATAGGAGGAGGCACTTATATATGATTTTCTATCTCCACTAGTGACCATACGAAGCAGCCTAATAGAAAACCACTTTGAAGGACAAAAAGTTTCGATCGTACAAACCATAATTTCATAGAGACTAATCATAGGCTTGACAATGATATGCATGCAAGTGGCTTAATTAGCATATGGAATTAGGTGTAAAAATGTAAATTACAACATAAATGTTTTTACTTTCTGTTTAAATTTAAATGGAAATAACAAAATAGCCATTTTATGTGCACAGTGATGCGAGATGATATAGTTAAAGTATGTACATTTTAGTAGACAACTCAAAGATAACTTATGCAGAAAAATGTTAGCCACCAAATAGTTTAGGTTTAAATTAAACGTTTCACAATACAGAAGTTTGTGGTAGGTTTTCAAGTGGGTCACCAGATTTCAATTTTCTCATATTACACCTAGACGTTTGAAATTTGTCCAATATTGTAGATACTTATGGCGATGGCATGCCCTTTTGTGGTTTCTCTTTTGTATGACGGCTACAATTTAAGAGAATGTGTAAAATGATTGAACTTCAAAACTATCAGAGTGTAGTGTGGAAAAAAATTAGAATATAATGGTCCATTTAAAACCGATGCCAAACCTAGATATAAGGTGAAGTGTACGTAGCCCAGTAGTTTAATATGATACATCATTAAACCTAATCTAATTATCTGAGGTGATTAGATTACTAGTTCAGTTTTATTTAAATGTGTAATTAATCTTTTCCACTTTAGATACATTTATCCAAATTAGCAACTCAATTTACAGTAATAAGTAAAATGAAGGAAAAAGTATCCGGTCCTTAGTTACAAATATTTATTGACTGAGACGTTATTTGTTTTCAGATTTTAATCGAAGTCCCTAGCATTAAAATATTAATGAATTTATATGTCAGTTACATATAGGGCTGGTTCGGGTCGGGATCCCAAACCAACACCCCTAACCCAAATCCCAAACCAAAATATTTCAGGATGGGATTTTATATCCCGAAACCGAACTGAAACTATTAATTTCCCAAAATTCAGGATTCCCGAAAGTGTTTCGGGATTTTCAGGTCACTTTGGGATTGGGTCTTGAAGCCCAAAATGTTGGGTTTTAAAACTTTTTACAATTTTAAGCTCTTTAACAAGTAAACCCACCCATTTTTCAGGAAAAAAAAAAGGTTAACAATTGCAGGCTTGCAGCCCACTACCTTTGCAGCCAACCTGTTTCAATTTCACAATATCACATAAAGTTTCACAATTTCACAATTTCAGTTTCACAATACCACATGTTTCAATTTTCATACCAAGGAAGCAACAACTAACGAGTTAAGCTCAAGTTCACAATTGTCTACCAAACTAGTTAATTAAAAGTGCATGCAACCAAAATGAAATAAGTTAAGTTTTACAAACCAAACTTCCGAATGAATTTAGATTAAGTTACAAACCAAAAGCAAACATAGTTTATAAGCAAGAAAGTGCATGCAACCAAAATGAAACTCAAGTAAGTTCATTCCCTTTTGCCCCTTTGGCCCCTTCCCCGTGTTGATGAATCAACCACACCCTTGATTTTTCCCTTCTCTGTAAAATACAATTCTAAAACCGTCGCCGCCACCTTGTGCCTATTTGGAAGCTCGTCTTTGGATTCAAGTCATGGATCCAATCTCTAAAGTCCTCTTGATCAACCACCCTAAAAGGCATCTCCACTTTTATTATCCACTTCACACATTTCATATCAAGTCTTTTTTGATTGAAAGTGTGAGCGAAAACTTGACCCCCCCCCCCCCATCACCTTTTGTGACAACAATGGTTTTCAAATCCAGGGTCCTATGTGTACTAGTAGATTGTGATTGGCTACCACTACCACTACCAGACCCGTCCATCCTAACAATGCACAATAATATATCACAACACAGTTTAACATATATATAATATTCATATATCTCATCTCATATACTGATCAAACACATATATATCACAACCATAAACTGATCCATAAACACATATAATATATATCAAAGTCAAACACATATTTATCTTTGATCCATAACATGCCCCAAAAGACAAACGAATTATTAAACATCCTCCTACAGTTACAGCAAGGTTAAGTTTCAACATTACATGTACAAATATACTTATGATGTTTTCCACTATGCGTATAATAAAAGCATGCGACTTTTGAGCACCACCCAACACGGAGATTAATACGAAAAAAAGACTCCTAAAATCAAGTGATGAGATTTAACAAAGAAATGATAATCATTACCAACCATGTCTTGTTTCCTATTAAGTGGAAGAAATGAAGAGAAAATTGATGTATCTTCTGCTTCCTAGCTCCAAAAAAACATATCAAACTAAGATTCACTTCGACATTCGCCGTTTAACTCAAAAGAATATGAAATATAAAAGCTTTCAAACTAGCAGAACCTTGTTAAAAACTGCTGCTTCATAACGAAAATGTTCCAATTTTACACGGGTTAGAAAAACTTGTTTCGAATTGATGTTCAACGGATACCAAAAATCTAATCACACAAGCAACATACAAGAAGCAATTCATCAAGCTTATGCAATCAAAGAAGAAACAGCAAACCTAGTAGAAACCCAAAAAGCAAACTTTTTTTTTTTTTTTCAAACAAGAGAAGCACTACAATCACTAACTCACCACTAAGCAAAACAACTTGATAACAGTGAGTACATAAAAGTTAAAACAATATATGAATGATGAATCTATGATGCAGTTTTTATGGCAAAGCCCAGGGGTTCCCTTAGATATCCTGCATGCAGGTCTTGCACTTACCTATCCTAATTCGAAACCCACAGTCCTCAAACGGTCAAACCCTCACACATTCGACAAAATACTCAAAAATCAAGTTAGTTAACATGAAATTTGAACCTAAACACTAAAGAACAAAACCCTAGTGAAAATTAAAAACCCTTACCTGGATTTTGGGACTCGATTGGTGTCGGATTCGAGTCTTCCTTCCTGCATTTGCGTGAGTCGATGGAGGAGCAGTGTGAGTCGATGGAGGACGAGGAGCAGCGTGGATTCGATGGAGGAGCGGGGCGGCGGGACTGTGAGTGAGAGTGTGAGTCTGTGAGAGAGACTAAGAGAGTGAGCGACTGAGAGAGTCAGAGAAACCTAACAAATGACCTAACTCAATGGACAGTTGGATTAGATCTTAACAAATCCAACAGTTCAAGTAATTTCTAATTAAAAATTAAAAATAAATAAATATATATAAGCTGTGGCCGAATCCCAAACCAAAACTTTCGAGATGGGTTCAGTTTCGGGTACCGAATTTTTTGGGAAATTCAGTTCGGGCATTTTTCGGTCAAATTTCGGGATGGTTCGGGATTTTCTGGAAAAAATTCCACCCCTAGTTACATACCTTTTTAAAAAAAACTTGGTAATTGATTTAGGGTTCTATTACTCACACCTTGATTAAACTCCTAATTAACTTCAATTTAGAACATTCAAAAATAAAATAAAATAAAAATAAGTTTGGACTCATTAATTTTTTATAAAAAGATTTTTAATTTTTTAACTTAAATGTACCCATTCATATAATTTTTTAATCTTAAATTACCCATTTTGAAATATACCAATTTGTTATATGTACAATGTACCATTTTTTAATATAAAATATGCCATTTTTTTTATATAAAATTCATTCATTTTTTTCTAATCCATTTTTTAAACTTATATGGATACAAAACTTTTTCGTTGATTTGGGATGTCAAATTAATCAAAGACTTTTTGTAAGATCTCACATCATCCAGGGGAGTGATCCTTAAATGTATATTCCCATCCCTACCTAGCACAAGGCATTTTGGAAGCTCTCTGGCTTCGAGTTCCATGGGAACTCCGAAGTTAAGCGAGTAGCGCGCGAGAGCATTCCCAGGATGGGTGACCCATCGGGAAGTTCTCGTGTGAGTTCCTAGAAACAAAACCGTGAGGGTGTGGTCGGAGCCCAAAGCGGACAATATCGTGCTACTGGTGGTGGAGCGGGCCCGGGAAGTGATCCACCCCGGGCCAGGATGTGACAATTTGGTATCAGAGCCTAACCCTAGCTGCGTGTGTGTCGACGAGGACGTCGGACCCCTAAGGGGGGTGAATTGTAAGATCCCACATTGCCTAGGGGAGTGATCCTTAAATGTATATTCCCATCCCTACCTAGCACAAAGCCTTTTGGAAGCTCATTAGCTTCGGGTTCCATGGGAACTCCGAAGTTACGCGAGTAGTGTGCGAGAGCATTCCCAGGATGGGTGACCTATCGTGAAGTTCTTGTGTGAGTTCCCAGAAACAAAACCGTGAGGGTGTGGTCGAAGCCCAAAGCGGACAATATTGTGCTACTGGTGGTGGAGCGGGCCCGAGAAGTGATCCACCCCGAGCCGGGATGTGACACTTTTACTAAAGTTATTAAGCCTAGTATCTACTAATTTTTGTGTGTGTGGTTTTGACGAATGTACCCATGTTTTGGTTAATTTTGATGAATATACCCATGTTTATATATATATATATGTGTGTGTGTGTGTGTGTGTGTGTGTGTGTGTATGTATGTATGATATGTATAATATATTGGAGAGTATAATTTATCTTTTAATATTTTTAATCCCACAAATCATGGATTTTATTTAGAATCTCATTAATTTATTGTAACAACAAATTTCAAATTTTAATTTACAAATTCTAATAACCTATATACAAAAGCATTATTGCATTAATTTCAGGAACTTCAATAAAAACTAAAAACCAACAAGTTTTAGTCAAAGAACATTGATAAATAGGAAGAATCAAAAGTCACCCTAAAATGAAACTAGCTAGTTGTTAATGTTTTTACTCCGTTTAACATTTCTTCATTTAATAGTTTTACTCTCCGTTTAATACTTTTTTTAAGAAAATGCATATGAGAATTAGACCGAGAAGCAATGTGTCACAACCCTACCACCTAAAAAAAAAAAAAAATGAAAGTACAAATATAATAATAATTTAATAATTTGGTTGGTTCTGCTGGTTAATATTAAAATGAAACTAGCTGGTGACTTATTGATTAATGAGACATGTTAGTTTCAACAAACTTATAGTGGCTCCTTCGATTTATTTACTTGTAATCCAAGAAATATACCCAGAAGTTTAATTTATTTACCAAAAAAAAAAGTATTCGGTAGACTTGTCAAAAACTCACTCCTTTGCCTTTGGAATACGTAACTGTTTCCAGAGTGTTTGTCTTGTTCCACTTTTTCGCTTATGGTTTGAAGATTTCTTGCCTTTGGAAAGTTAGTTGGGAAGAGGCACAGGGGACACGTGGAGGAGTGCCCACTCTTCGGCTTCCCAGTCACACTAAACTAAAATTCTACGGCCCTGACTGGTAGCTGTGTTTGCACAACGCACGTGCCAATCCATCTATCATTTTAAAGATACAGCTACCAATCGAATGTTACAAGGTTAGGGTTTTGCCATGGACAACAGACACGTATGCTGAATTGGACCAAAATACTTCAAAGATGAATTTGTTCTCATTCAATAATTCTTGACTGTATCGAGCTGAAACATGATGTTCTTCTTGAATACCTCGATTCAACATCAAAGAAATGCTTACCATTATTATATAATATTCATCTTTATTTGGTAATAAATTTTTACTGCTACTTAGTATCAACAAGTTTGAAAAAATATCTAAAGCTATCAAATTTAAATATTTGTATCCTATTGAAATAAGTAACCAATATAAGTCATGCACGCATGAATGGTTTTGAGATATTCATGACCGGTTCATGCATTGCTCTATAAATGTCTTAATACTTGAAAATTACTTTTCATAATAAATATGCAATATATTTATAGGGACCACAAAATTCTTCAAATTTGTTATGGTGTTATAAACTTTGTATTTTAGTGTGAATGTGTAAATCCTAGATTAGATTTGATACTAGTTATTCTTTCCTATTATGACTTGTATTCCTTGGAGGAGAAGGATTCTTCCCTCCCTTATTATTATAAACAAAGGCACTGCCTAGGGGGAATAACAATATCCTCTACACAACCCTACAAACACATCTTTCTCTACTCTCTCTCTCTGTTGTGCCCCCTCTCTCCCCTGTCATATTAAAATAAGCCACAACACGTTATCTGCATGCTCTTACCGCTGCGCTTAGGAATCTGACATGGAATTTTCTGCATCAAACCAGTTCATCAATATCATCACGCAATCAAGTTCTTTCAAAACAACGGTTTTTATCTCGATATTTTTGCAGCCCTGATAACATGAACATTCACCATAATGCATGACCAAATTTTATGATTTTTCGAATTTTAGATTCTACATAAATTGTGTTTGCATTATATCCATAATTGTTGAATTATGTGAATTGATATTGCCATGAATTGCATCATATATCTTCTCATGCATTAAAGTATATGTTGAATATGCATTGAATTAAATCAGGAATTAAGAAAAAAAAAATTAAAATTAGAGTTTATCACCAAACTCATCCCGTGAGCCGCTGGCTTCCAAGTTCTGCCGCATCGAGCCACCAGCACCAGGCCTGTAACCTGTGTGGTTAAGCCGAGCCGCGAGAACACAAAGTCGGAGCCATGGGCTCCTGGTTTGAAAAAAAAAAAAAAAAAAACCCAACACCTTTAATGGCGTCTTCACCTTCATAGGTGGGCCTGCAGCCCAACCTCGACCTTGGGTCACCATCCTGACAGTCTAAAACTCGTCCACTGACGTTGATTGACTAAGATTCCTTTGAATCTCATCGGATTCTTCGAAATTCCAATCCAATTTTTTTAAAGTTTCTAAAATGTTGAGAGCTTTTACTCTTCGTTCACCTTTATGGGTCGCTGATAAACCCACGGTTCTTTTGCTGTGATTTGTGTGCCACGACACAATCGCCTGAAGCAGTGGCGCCAATCTTCTTCTCAGCGATGTTCATCTAGCTCGCGCTGGGGTGTCTGGATCATGAACCCAAACCCACTTGGGCTTAGCCTGTTCTTAGTGAAGTGCTAACCCTTTGGGCTTTGGAGCTCCCTCAACCCAACATCGGCCATTTTTGGCCACGGTGTTCTCGTGTTTCGCACCATAGGGGCCCAGCCCAGCATGGCTATCCCGGTTCTTATGCTTCACGCTTGCACCGGATCCCAGCCTAGACACTGTTGTATCCGTGCATGCATCGCACCAGATTAGAGCCCTTTATGGGCCTCTGTTTTTGGGCTTGCGCCTGCAACCCAATTATTTTATGATGCTGGGCCTGCCTGCATATTAGGCCTAAGCTCAACCCAACTCAATTTTTGGGCCTAGACCACACGGTCCTAATTTTCTCAGCCCTCCTCCCCTCGTGGGCTTTGGTCTATGTTTTTAGGCCTCGAGTTTAATTGTTTATTTTTTTAGACAATTTGGATTTTATAATTTTTCACCCACATTTTAATTTTGGCCCGAAGTCCAAATAATTAATTCAAGGGTAAATTACATAGAAATACGTCAACTATTGGGTCATTAACAGTTTCATACGTCGTCGTTCAAAAGTCATACCTCATCTACGAATTTGTTACAATTTCATACATTCTGTTAGTTGTCTGTCAATTCCTCAGTTAAATGCTGACGTGGCTTAAGGCGTGACCCAAGCCATGTCAGCATATTAAAACAATAATTAAATATTAAAAAATTAAAAAAAAAACCAAAAAACAAAAAAATTCCAAACCCAAACCTAAGGGCCGAAACTTCGCATCCCCTTCTCATCTTCCCCATCGACCCAGATCCATCAAATTCGCCACCCAGATCCATCAACTACCTTTTCAAGGAGCAGCGCCTCTTCTTCATCCTTGTCGGCATTCTCATCGGCTCCACCTTCTTCATCCTCCAGCCCACCTTCTCCCGCCTCAGCTCTTCTGATCCCAACTCCGCCACCAACTCCATGTCCAGAACATTCTCTACCGCCCACGACCTCGTCTCCAAGCCCACCCATGCCAAGGTGGGTCACGTCCCTGTTGCGCTCAGCCAACAGAGGTTGCTAATCGTGGTCACCAGCGGAGCTGGGTTTGTCGGATCCTACCTCGTTGACTAACTTATTGACAAAGGTAATGGGGACCCTTTGAATTTTTATTTTTTATTTTTAATTTTTTAAGTTTTGAATGGGAGGGAAGGTGAAGAGAGTGGAGGGGAAGAAGGTGGT